TCTTGGAGGCCTCTGGAGTCGTTTGGGGGCCTTCTTGGGGCCGTCTTTGAAGCCCTCTGGGTTGTGATGGGTCATATTAGAGGCCTCTTGGGAGATCTTAGCGCGATGTTGGGGACCTCGTGGGCCGTCTGAAAGCCGAAACGAAGCACATGCCCAAATCCTTCAAAACCACTCTGGACAAGCAATGGTTTGCGCTTCCTCGGGCTTCCCTGGATACTCTTTTGGAGGCCTCTTCTGGCTGTCTTGGAGGCCTCTTGGGGCATCTTGGGCTGTGTTCGGCAATCCTGAGGCAATGTTTGGCCGTCGTGGGTGCATCTTGGGCAGTCTTGGGTGCATCTTGGGACCATCATGCCGTCTTGGAGGCCACCGTGGGCCATGTAGGAGCGAGAAAGGCAACCATCCAGGCAAGTCCCACAAGCTCTCTGGGCGTAGGTGGTTTGACGAACATTGTCTTCCTTCTTCTGGCAGAAGCCCCACTCCCGACCCTGTCCCCCGGACACCTTGTAAAGACCTTGCATTTCCCCTGAACCGCCCCCGTGCAAAACACCCTGCAGAGGCCCTTGCAATACCCTGCAACACCCTGCGAACACCCTGCAAAGACCATGCAGTACCCCTGCACCCCCCTCCCCATCTGCAAAGACCCTACGAAGACCCTGCAAAGACCCTGCATCGCCTCGTAGTGCTTGGCAATACTCTACAATCCCTTGGAGCGCCCTGCAAGCCTTTGCCATGGCTCTGCCGAACCATCCTTCTCATCCCAGTCACTGCCTCGATGCCGCACCTTTCCCCTCGGGCAACGCAGAGCGCCTGGGCATCGATTAAGGATGCGATGGGCGTTCAGCTCCGCGGGCTCCTCCGTCGTCTGTTGGGCTCTATTGAACACGCCTCCATCAAAACGCTGGCGTTTCGTACAGTGCACCATGCTAGTCATGGCCAGTCGACGCGCTAAAAGCGCGCCGACTACGTGACATGACAACGCTCGGACACGCCAAATACGCGCCGATTCATTGCATTCTTGTTGACGCCCCTCCAGACAGCTGCCTGTCTCCCTCTCGAACTGCTAAAAGCGCCGTCGCCCATGCAGGATCTATCAGCCAAAGCGACGGATTCGCGATCCAGGTAGAACCAATCGACCGCAGCCGAGCTCCACAAAGAACCTCCCGACGGACCTAGATCCAGGTGCAGGCGCATCGAAGCCCTCAGAGCACTTCCATGATCTTTTTCACTCCCTCCTTCAATCCCACCAATCCTTTGGGCTCAGGTAGTTTAAGGAATTGTCTTCTTTTCTCCACCAAAGCCCCTCATTCCTCTGCTCGGGGAAGGGCGCATCCCTCCCCCTACCCCCTTCCCTGGGTTCGGATGGGCCGCCCCGCGTGTAGTTAGAGCGTCCAAGATGGCCCAAGAGGGGTCCAAGAGGGCTTCAGAGAGCCCAAGGTAGCCTCCAAGATGGCTCAGGATAGCCGAACATGGCTAAAGATAGTCTCCGACATCCTCCAAGACAGCCCCAAGACGGCTTCCAGTGCCCTTCGACTCGACCTTTCCAAGGCATTTCCCAAGAAGCCAACATCTTTCAAACACCTGAAGAAAATACATGCGTTTGGCTTTCTCGCCTCTTTACTTCCAATCCGCTTTTGAGGCTTCCAGATGGCCCAAGACAGCTTACGAGAGCCCCAAGAGAAGCCCAAGACGTCTTCAAAACGCCCCCAGAAGCGCCGCAGAGCCTTCCAAAAGCGGCCGAAGAGGGCCCCAAGACGGCATGTTTGAGTGTCCGAGGGGGGGCCTGAATTGAGGCCCCCTCCCCTCTTTTCGAGCCATGGGGCCCAAGAGGCCTCCTAGGCCCCCTCCAATGCGCCCCAAGATGGCCCCAAGACCCGCAAAATGAGCACCAAGAGAGTCCCAAGAGTCCCCTCATGAGGCTCTACGGGAACCCCAAGAGAGCCGCTAAGATGGCCTCGATCGTCATTCAAGATGTTTTCGCGACGACATATCTCCAAAGCCCGACGTCTCATCCTCCTTGTCATCGTCCGTTCCTTCCCTCCTTCCTTCCTTTCCTTCCTCCCTCCTCCTCCTTATCCTCCTCCTCCTCAGCTTCCTCGTGCCGGATTCCTCCTCCTTCTCTTTTACGCCCTCCTCCTCCTCCTCCTTCTCTCTTTTTCCTCGCTCTCCTCATCCTCTTCCTCCTCCTCCTCCTCAGCCTTTTCCTCCTCCTCTCCCTCCTCCTCCCCCTACCCCCAAGATGGTCCCAGGAGGTCGAGCATGGCTCAGGATACGACAGACCTCCAAGAGGCCTCAAGACAGCCTCAGGATGGTCCGAGATCACTGAGCTTGGCTCAGGGTAGTCTCCGAGAGCCTTTGGCCGAGCATGGCTCGAGATAGCCTCCACGAGGGTTCAAGAACGCCTCCGATCGTATCTGGATGGGCTCGTGGGTATACGCGAGGCGTCAAGACGCGTGGTTGGTTCCGGGCGGCCAGCGCCCGGGGGCCGAAGCCTCAACGGGTGTTTTAAGAGAGCACAGCACCATTAGACATTCAGCGCGCAACCCCGGGGGGTGGCGGATCGCTCCCCCGTGTATGATCCCCAGGCTCCGGGCCCACGCCCCCCCCCCCCCCCCAGATGGGATGGGTCCCAGGGCTCTACGGGCCCCGCCCTGATGGGATGGGGGGGGGACGACGACGACGACCACGACGACGACGACGACCATGACCACGACCACGACCACGACCACGACCACGACGACCACGACGACCACGACGACGACGACGATGACGAATAGACGGCGTTATCAAAATTTCTCGGAGGTCTTTGGGGGCCTGTTGTTGGCCCTGGGGCCATCCAACATGGATTGGAGGAGAAGCATTGGCTCCGGGGAAGGGGCCGCGCATTAAACAAAGCAGATCGCCGGATGTTTGGGAAACAAAAGTCAGGGTCGGGGTGATGTTTAGGGGGGGGGTGGATATCGTGGCGTGGGCCATGGCAATTTCCCAAGATTCCATGGCGCCTCTTCTTATTTCATTACGGCCCTGGCCCCCCGCTGGGCCGCGCACGTGCCGCCGGTCATGATTTGCACCCCCCCCTTCTTGGACCCCCCCCTCTGGGCTGCTCCCGACAAAGCAGGGACCACCGACAGCGAGAACTGAGACACTGGCGGCGCCTGCTGCCCCGCCCCCGGCGCGCTCTGCGCGCCAGGGAGGGGCGTCCAGCTCCGATCCAGGAAATCCGCGCGGAATTCCGACAAGTTGTTCCCTACCTAGGCTCTGCCTAGAAGGGTTCTTACTGTCTATGCTTAAAGGGCCGGGCAGTGGAGAACGCCCCGGGCGGTACCCCCGGCATCCGCCCCGCGGTTCCCCCAGTTACGTCCCCTTAGCTTAGCGTTGCTTATCTCATCTTAGCTGAGCCTAGCTTGACTTAGCTTAGCTTAGCCTAGCCTAGCCTAGCCTAGCCTAGCTTAGCTTAGCTTAGCTTAACTTAGCTTAGCTTAGCTTAGCCTAGCTTAGCTTAGCTTAGCTTAGCCCAGCTCAGCTTAGCGCAGCTTAGCGCAGCGCAGCATTAGCATAGCATTGCACAGCACAGCACAGCATTGCATTGCATTGCATTGCATTGCATTGCATTGCATTGCATTGCATTGCATTGCATTGCATAGCGCAGCATATCATAGCGCAGCATAGCAGAGTATAGCATAACACATCATATCATAACATATCGCATCATAGCGCAGCATAGCATAGCATAGCACAGTATAGCATATCATAGCATATCATAGCATATCACAGCCTAGCATATCATAGCACATCGCATCATAGCATCCCATATCATATCATAGCGTAGCATACCATAACCCAGCATATCATACCATCGCGCAGCATAGCATAGCATAGCATATCATAGCATAGCGCAGCATATCATATCATAGCATCGCATATCATATCATAACATATCATAGCGCAGCATATCATATCATAACATAGCATAGCGCATCATACCATATCATAGCATAGCCTAACATAGCATAGCATAGCGCAACATAGCATAGCAAAGCATAGCGCAGCATAGCATAGCATATCGTAGCGCAGTATCGCTATACTATTGCTCTCCTCGGGGCTCCAACTCCTAGGTAGGGTCGCTCTTGGATAATGCTTGTTCAAGTTGTTGTTCTTGCTCTGGAGCAGGGGTGAGGGCGAGGCGCACGAGGTGAAGGCCAGGGAGGAGGGACATGGGCGCAAGGGACAGGCGAGGAAGAGGCGAGAGAGAGTGGGTGGGTGCATGGACGTATGGATCGCCCACCTGTTGGGCTGGCTTTCAGGAGCCACGGGCCAGAGGAGGAGGAGGAGGAGCAGGAGGAGGAGCGGAGGAGGAAGGAGGAAGCATGTGGAGTGGTACCTGGGCCCAGGGGCGCGCGAAGGTCTTCGGTGGAGCTCCCCATGGGGCCACGACGCGCGAGGGGTTGCCGACTCGGGCGCGGGTGCGCCATGCGGACCCTGCCGCTGGGGCCTCCGGTGGAGCTCCCTGTGGGGCCACGAGGCGCGTGAGGGGTGTGCCGAAGCGGGCGCGGGTGCGCCCAGGGGTGTTTGGCGTGCTGGATGCCTGGAGGGTCCTGTTTCTTTTGGCACTCCCCCATGGGGATTCCGCCGGTGCCGCCGGCCACCCAGAAGGCTGCGTTCGAGGTGGCTGCGATGGCTGTTCTTAGCCACAATGGCTCCAAGACGGCCAAGGCGGCCCCAAGTCCGCCCAAGATGGTCCAAGATGTCCTCTAAGACGGCCCGAGAGAGTTCAACATGCCTCCAGGTTCGCCCAAGAAGCCTCCAAGACGGCCCCAGAGGCCCCAGAGGCCCCCAAGAGGCCTCCTGGACGGCCCAAGAGGCCTCCAAGAGGCCCTCCAAGAGTGCCCGAGGATGCCCAAATCATTGATTTCCCGTGGGTTTGTTTACGAATGTCGGACTTTGGCATTCCGACGGCCCAAGACGGCACACGAGGCATCCAAGATCGCCTCACGATGGTCCGTAGCCGTTCTGGCTCATGCAACACGCTGCAGCCCATACGTTGCCGCGTGATTGCCGAGACTCGCACGTGCTCCCAGCGCGTTCAGGCAGGCCGGCGCACGCGAAGCAGAGATGCCGGCCGTGAGGGCCTGCGGGGCTCTGCTCGCCGTGGCCTCGGGGCTCGCCGCCGCGGCCCCGCTCGGCGCCGCCAGCGCGCCGCGTTCCGAGGCGGAGGTGGACGCCCAGCAGGAGTGCGAGCAGGCGGCCGCGCGCGTCGAGGCCCTTCAGAGGCGCTCGGCGCTGACGGGCTCTCGGGCCCCCACGGAGGAGGAGGAGCTGGAGGAGTCTCGCGTCGAGGCCGAGATGGAGGGCAACCCTTACGTGCGTGGGCCCAACGTTTACCTCGCGAAAGTTGTGGATCCGAGAAATTTCCGGAGCTACTGCCTGGACATCGCCGGTTCCCCGCCCCACCCGGAGTGCAACAGCATCCAGGGCCACAGCTGCAAGACCGAGGGCGAGGACACCCAGTTCAAGTACGACCCCGACACGCAGTCAATCCGTTCCGTCAACTTCAATGGGAATTGCAACCCGCTGTACAACGGGTCGAAGAACGGAATGTCATGGGAGGCGGATTCCGAATTCACGAATCTTGCTTGTCTCACTGTCATCGGAGAACTACAAGCTGGGTCCACCTTCAGCCTCACGAGATGTACCCCAAGCGACCGGCAGAGATTCGTGTTCACGAGCAGGGGTCAGTTTGTGATGGGCGACGGTTCCTCCTCCCTATGCGTCGTCTTGGGAATGATCGCGATGGAGTATACTGATCAGGACGTCTTCACCCGCCCCGCGGAACTCCAGGACTGCGAGTCGTGGCCGACGGAGCTGTCCACGTGGAAGGTTCTTCTCCCAGACCACACCTTCTTTTCTGGCATCGATGCCAGTTCCTCCCAGCAGTAAGGGACCAGCTGGAACACATAACTCAGACAGGTTTATCTGATCTGTGCAGGTTGACCATCCACGGCCAGCTGCCAATTCGTTTGTTCTCTTGATTTAAATATGGTTGGTAGCCTGCCTGCATCAGCCAGCGGTCATGCCCACGCCCACGCATGCCCTCGCACCGCAGTGCGTCCGGCAGCCAGTCAGTCCACGGAAAAAAGATCGCCTCATGATGGCCCCAAAGGCTTCAAGATGATGTTGATGATGATGATGATGATGATGATGATGATGATGATGATGATGATGATGATGATGATGATGATGATGATGAGGAGGAGGAGGAGGAGGAGGTTGGAGGAGGAGGAGGAGGAGGACGCGGAGGAGTAGGCGGAGGAGACGGATGATGAGTAGCAGGAGGAGGAGGAGGAGGAGGAGGAGGAGGAGCAGGAGGGAGAGAGTTGACCTGAAGAGGGGAGAGGAGACGACGAGGAGCCTGACGGGGGAGGAGGAGGAGGAGGAGGAGGAGGAGGAGGAGGAGGAGGAGGAGGAGGAGGAGGCAAAGGAGGCAAAGGAGCAGGCAAAGGAGGAGGAGGAGGAGGCAAAGGAGGGAGGAGAGGAGGAGGAGGAAGAGGAGGAGGAGGGAGGAGGAGGAGGAGGAGGAGGAGGACGAGCACGGAGGATGGGACGCAGGAGGAAGCGAGGAGAAGGGCGGAGCAGGAGGGAGCAGAAGGGAGCGAGGCGGAGGAGCGAGGCGACGCCGCGAGAAGGAGGCGGAGGCCTGCCCCGCTGCAGGTGGAGGCGCTCGCCGCCCTGCTCGGCGCCGCGTCGCCCGGCGAGTCCTCGAGGCGCGGGGCCTCCTCTCGCCGCGGACGCCGCCGACGCCGCCGTACAGTCGGGGCCCTGAGGAAGGAACCCTTTTCGTTGGGGAGGGGCTCCGTGTTCCTTAAGTGTTTCATTGCTTGCCTCAGGCTTTCCTTATGTCTTCGATCGGGCCTCGTTTCTGATTTAGGGTTCCTTAGGTCAACGCCCCGACTGTAGGTCAAGGGAAAAAAGGTGCCGATACCGCTGCCCTGGGCCTCCTGGAAGTTGGGCCTCCTGGAAGGCCCAACGAAGGCCTTCCAGGAGGCCCAACAAGATACCTCCGTTTTCCCATAGTTGGGCCTCCTGGAAGGCCCTCGTCGGCACCACCAGGTTCTCCTCGAGATCCTGGTCGCAGCGCACCCCCCTGGAGGGGCCTGGAGATGCGCGGCATCGGTACCTTCTGGTTTCCCCCGTAGGGGCAACACTCCTTGGAACCCAGGGCCATGATTTGGACCCGAGGGCAAGGACTATGTACCCGAGGGCACGGATTCTGCACCTGAGGGCAACGATTCTGGACCCAAGGGCCAGGATTCTGGACCTGATTAGCATGTCCCTATCTCTATGTGTGTCATCACCTTGCCTCAGTGCCGATCTTGGGGAGTCCTTCAGTTTCCAAGGGCACAGCCCTAAGATTGTCATCGCCCGTTGGCTCGTCAATCTCAGGGATAGGGATAAATTCGAAGCTGGCTGCCGGAGGGCAATGATCCTGAGCCCCCGAGGCCAGTATTGCTGGGCCTGGGGACAGCGGTCCTGGACCCATGGGGTTAGGTCGGGCCTGTCCCCCTGCAGGGGGATTTTGGACGAAAGATACAAACATAGTCAAAACAACCTTCAACACATATCCAAACATACTCAACACATCGTCCCTGGACTATTGCGAAGGCCTTACGGTCGGTGCCGCCGACCCTGAAGACGACGAAGATGAAAGCGAGGGGGAGGAGGAGCAGGAGGATGAGGCAGAGCAGGTGCACGAGAAGGGGGAGCAAGGGGGGGAGGAGGAGGAGGGGGCCGTCTTGGGGCTTCTTGGAACTTCTGTTGGTCTTTTTAGTGGCCTCTTGGGGCCTCTTGTGGGCCTCTGGGGGGTCTTCTGGTGTCTTGGGGGTCTTCTGGTGTTTCTTGGGGACTTCTTGGCGCCCAGGGCGTCACGGGTGCCTCTTGGAACCGACGTGGGGGTCTTGTGGGCAGTGCGGAAGTTTTCTGAGAAGACGACGACGACAACGACGACGACGACGACGCAAGACGACGAGCCCGAGACACGTCTTCCACCTGTCGATAGGGTCGGCGGACTTGATGTCATTGGGGGCTTGCTGTTTTTTGGAGGGCCTTTGGGGTTTCTCTTTGGGGGGCTTCCCCGCAGGTCTCTTGGGACCCACTTGGAGGCTCTGGGCGCCACGCAGAGGGAAATGTGATCTCAGTTGGTGTTCAGGCCTTTGCAGGCCCTCCTGGAGGTTCTATGGGAGCCCTTCTGGGCGATGTTGTTGGGCTTCAGTTTTCTCGATGCCGTCCTGGGCCACCTTGCGGCTATCTTGGGTGATCTTTGTTGGGAGCGTCTTGGAGGCGATCTTGAATCGTCTCGGACCCTCTAGCGGCCTTCTGATGCAGCCCGTGTCGCCTCAAGCCGCGCGCTGCAGGACTTCCGCCCGGGCTCGATTTCGAAGGGCTCCCCAAGACCGCCCCCCAGGAGACCACCCCTCTTGGAGCGGATGTGACGATCTCGTGGGCAGGGACTCCCCCGAAGGTCGCCGCCCGAGCTCCCCCCCCCAGGGATAAAAGGGAAAGGGCTTTCACTCGAGTCAACACCGACGTTGCTCAGATTAGCTTCGCCTCCGCGTCGCGGCCGCCCCCCTCCCCCGAAGGGAGCCGCCGGGCTCCCCCCCCCCCCCCCCCGGGCATCTGGGTCGGACCCCCCGCCCTCACCCCCCTCCTCCCCCGGGGGAGGGAATATAGGGGAAGGGGCTGCCCCTCGAGTAGGCTACGACGTTGCTCAGATTGGCTTCCCCCCGCGTCGGGGCGGCTCCCCTCCCCCAAAGGAAGCCGCCCGGGGAGGAAGCGTATCCCGAAGGGACACCCTTCCCTCCACCCCACCCCACCTCGGGTATCCGGGGCCCCCCTCCCCCCCCCCCCCCCCCGGAGGAAGGGATAACAGGGAAGGGACTTCCGTGCGAGTAAGCTACGATGTTGCTCAGATTGGCTTCCCTCCCGTGTCGCGGCCGCTCCCCTCGCCCGGGGGGAGCAGATTGGCTTCCCCCCCGGGTCGCGGCCGCTCCCCTCGCCCGGGGGGGGCCGACCACTCCCCCTCTTGGAGCCGACGTGGCGGTGTCGTGGGCAGCTCCCCTCTCCCGAGGGGAGCCGACAACGCTCGGAGAGCGACGTGGGCGTCTGAGGGGCTTGCATCCTTCTCGCGCATCCTCGCTATCGGTTCTGATTGCAGGGGCGGAGAAGGTAGCGCCCCAGAGCGTAGGCGAGGCACGCGTGGGGGGGGGGGCTGGGATCTGGGCGGCTCGAGCCCGCACTGGAGCATCCCGTCCTTGCCCCTCCCCCGCCCTCTCCCCTGCCCCCCCGTCACCCCCCTCCCTGAATTCCCAAGTGCCTTGCGCCTCGAGGACGAAGCGCGTGCTCTCTCGGGGGAGGGTGGGGGGCGGGGGGCGGGAGCTGGATCGGGAGGTTAGGCTGACTGAGTTGCCACCGCCTTGGCCTTGCAGCCTCTCAAGCGCCCAGGGCGGTGCATCCATGTCTCCTTGTTCTGGGCTCGGTGTCTGATGGGGCCCTGCGGCCGCCCCTGCGGCCATCTTCCCCCATGCGGCGCCGCTCTGGTGATCCAGCTGGACGCTCGCTCGCTCGCTCGCCCCTCCCTGAATTCCCAGGCACCTCGGTGCGGGCAATACTTTTGTCCATATCCACTGCAGTATGGAGTTTCGGGCTCCCTTCCCCAGAAACCCGAGGCACCCTGTATATGGACAATTTTGCCCACCGTAGAGGCTAGGTTTTTATCCATATCCAGTGCGCCTCGGCCTTGAGGCGCTTCTTCCAAAAAAGTTCAAGACGCATTGGATATGGATATAAGTATTGCCCGCACTCGGTGTGCACTCGCCCACCCGCCGCGCATCCCTGATGACCCCCAGGACGAGCATTGCACCAAGCAGGCTCGCTGGCTGGTTTCCGGGGCGGGCCGCCCGTGCGGCCGTGGGCACGCCCTGGACGGCCCCATGGGGAGTTCCTGGAAGAGCTCGGGGGACGCCCGCCGGGGCGTAGGTGGCAGGTCCCGCATTTCCCGCGCACGTCGGCGCAATTCGAGGCTCGGAAACGGAGGGCCCTCCTCAACCCCGAAGTCGAGCAGTGGCGGGGCGCCCTGGCTTGCCCCTGGGCCCACCAGGACACGTTCGAAGAACTTCTTGTGGTCTGCGCGAAACGTTTTCCGACCATGTACGCTTGAGATTGCTTTGTTATGGCACACCGGGCTGGTGTTCTAAGAATAACAGGACTCTTGCCCTTACAAAGCATTTGGGGGGGTGTTCTAAGAGCAGTTCGTGGTAGTTTTACAGGAATGCTGGAGCGGCTGGTCCCTGCTCAAGAACAGGCCGTCGTTTGGGCGGTCGCTCACCGTGCGGCCGGAGGATGGGAATTCGATGCGCCCCTTGCATCTTTGGCAGGCTTGATCGGATCGACGAGACGCCCCCTCCCAATCAAGCCTGCCGAAGCGGGGGCCCATTCGCTTTGATTGTCGGCGGCTGCGGGCCGAGAAGCCATGAAAACTGGGAGCCTGCAAGTAGTCAGATCCTAAAATTCTCTCCGCCGCCTCCTTTTATGCCCCCCTCGCACTTCCCCCTGCAAGCAATCTGGCGTTCTGCACATGCGGCCATAACCTTTGGCAAGCCTCACCACGCGGCGTACGGAGGCTCCTGCATCTCATGCGATCCCGTGCACGCCTGCGCGCCTGTATGTCCCAGGCGCTCCCCAGGCCCTCCCAAGCGCTTCCAAGCGTCCCAAGGTGCCTATGGCGCCCCAGGCGTTCCGGGCGCTTTCCAGGCCTTCCCAGGCCCAACATTTTCACGCGCTCCCATGCGCACCCGAGGCAGTCACGAGCGCCGCCAGGCGCCTCGAGGCGTCCCCAGGCGCTCCGTGGCGCTCCCCAGGCGCTCCCCAGGCGCTGCCGAGCGCCTCCAGGCGTTCCCGTGCGCTCCCCAGGCAGAGTCACGAGCGCCGCCAGGCGCCTCGAGGCGTCCCCAGGCGCTCCGTGGCGCTCCCCAGGCGCTCCCCAGGCGCTGCCGAGCGCCTCCAGGCGTTCCCGTGCGCTCCCCAGGCATCCGCAGGCTGCTCCAAGCGTCCCAGGCGCTCCCGAGGCGTTCCCAGGCGTT